ATGGTGGTCTGACTGTAGCATGTGTCCAAACTAGGTCTCCTCAATGGAAAAGACAGAGTTGTGTAGGGCAGGCCCGGATGTCCAAGGAGGATATGGCAACTCATTGGGGCCTGCAGAGGACAACTGGTATTACAGAAGAGGAAGAAGAGCAGAACAAATTGGACAACCACACCAGCCAAGCAACGACAGCAGGGGTTGACTATGTCAGCCAATGGACCTTGGAAGGATTTCCTCATCCTTGGATTGGTGAGACTGACAGCATTTCAGAACTATTGAAACCACTTGGGCAGAACCCTCAGAACATGCTCCACATTGGGACCCTGGGTTGGTATTAGGTGTTCATTCATTCCCCATCCTCAGGTACTGATGTGGTCGGGAGGTTGAATATGGCTTCTCCACTTATTTCCCCCATTCCTCCAGATCCGGAAGAAGAAAAAGAAATTTGAAAACAGTGGTTTCACCCACTTCCCCCTAACCCTCGAACCTTTACTACCCTGATCAACAATGTAAACATTAAGAATTAAATTAAAAAAAAAAAAAAAGACTGAGATACCGAGTCAAGAGATCAAAATACCATTTCTGTGCTAATAACTGGCCTGTGTGAGTCCAGAGAGAGGACCTGAATTTGTGCAAGCAGTACTCAGTTTCCTAAATTAGTTACCAGAAAAACTAAATGAAGTTGTGTGTGTTTTGTTTTGTTTGTCCTGTGCATGTGAAAAATTGGCAGCAAAAGTTGAAAAATCATGATGCCATACATTGTTCTAAGTCAGAGAAAAATTCCCTTGAAATATGAATATCAATCACCATTTTGTGTATTGATCTGTTCTAGGCATCTTCAGGGGTGTGTATCAATGCTTTTTAGCAAATACTGGGTGAGATAGTTACAATAAGCACCCGTGAGCAATGAGCATAAATTGTGTGTCCCTGGCCACAAATAGGATCGGAGTCTGCAAGAGGGACTGATCTGGTAATAGGTAGAAGTTTGTGGCTTTAACTATACGTAGGCCTATTAGGGCTGACCCTCTGTTCACCATGCTGTCCAGGACGATAAATGGACACAACACACAGTGCAGGCACAGGTCTCTGTCCTCCTTGTGAGCAGACTCATTCAACTATCACAGTGGTGTGAAAAGAACATGACAAGAAGAGTGACTAATGAAATCTGTAAGTCCTGTCATCTAATTAGTAATTCTAAGAATGACAGCAGGACCTGAAATACCTGGGCTTACCTTATAATATATATGTTGCCTCTGTGTAATAATGAGCACTGGAGATGTATTCCCTTTGTGTTAATTTTTCACCAAAGTGTGCTTGCTTTGTTAGCAAATACAAAGATCTCTTTGTGTGTGTATGTGTATTTAAAATCCTATGAAAATTTGAAACCAGCCTATGATCATTTCAGTGAAGCAAAAACAGCAGCATAGTGCTTTGCAAGGATTAATACAATGTGTAAAAACATGGGCTGGCATGTTAGACTAGTGACTAAATCCTTGCTTTGTATAGGCAGGAATCCCATATGGGCATTGGTACATGTTCTGGCTGTTCCACTTCCCATCCAACTCCATGCTTATGGCCTTGGAAAGCAGTAGAGGATGATCCAAAGCCTTAGGATCCTGAATCCGCATTGGAAACCCAGAAGAAGCTTCTGACTTCTGGTTTCAGCTTAGCTCAGCTCTGCTACGGCCATTGCAGCCACTTGGGGAATGAACCAACAGACAGAAAATCTTTCTCAGTTTCTCCTTCTTTCTGTAAAACTGCCTTTCTAATACAATAAAAGAAATATTTTAAGACAGTAAATTTTTGCAAAAACAAAAGCATCTATTCGGTTATTAATTCTAGATGCTTTTACTAATTGTGTCATGACCAAAAAGAGAATCAAGGCAGCCAGATTCTACACAAGGTGACTTGGTTTCCGAAAGACAGGTTCCCTGCTAGACTACCAGTTGATTACCTGGCCACCATAACAACAAACCATCTGATGGGTTAAACGATGAAAGATAAGGGAAAAAAAGAAAATAGGCTTTGTTGCTGTTGTTGATGTTTTATCTTTTTTTTTAAAAGATTTATTTATTTATTTATTGGAAAGTCAGGTATACATAGAGGAGAAGAGATAGAGAGGAAGAGCTTGCATCCAATGATTCACTCCCCAAGGGACTGCAACGGCCAGTGCTATGCTGATCCGAAGCCAGGATCCAGGAACTTCCTCCAGGTCTCCCACGCGGGTGCAGGGTCCCAAGACTTTGGGCCGTCCTCGACCGCTTTCTCAGGCCACAAGCTGGGAGCTAGATGGGAAGTGGAGCTGCTGGGATTAGAACAAGCGCCCATATGGGATCCTGGCGGGTTCAAGGCGAGGACTTCAGCCGCTAGGCCACGTGGCTGGGCCCGAAATGCCTGAATTTTATATGAACATGACAAGTAAAAATTAACTGAGTGGAAATCAGGCGGTTCATCTCTCTCTAGTTTTTGAACTATGAACTCCTGGAACCAGTGAATGTGTTGTCAGAGAAGGCAGACTGAGTTTAGACTGTCATTTAACTATTGTTAAAATATGAAGATGAATGCGATAAACCGAAAGTGTTACAGTCAGAGGGAATCTTCCTGAGAAAGGCGGAAATGGCGATGCACACTTCTGATACTCTGAGTGCGGTTCCTCTGAGTCCTGGCTTGGTCTTGTGATTAGCAGAGCTGAAAAATAGCAATCTTTTGCTGTTTCCAGTCACTAAACTTGTGGTAGTTTGCTAGAGCAAGAGCAGGGAACCGATACAACCACCAAGAGAAAATTTTACCTAATTTGAAAACTTAGGAGAGGGTAGTCTTAGAAAGAAATAATAATCTTAACTTTTGCTGTATGTAACATTTATGTACATGAATAAAACTTGTGCTAGCGTGCATTGTAAGAGTGAATAATTGAAACATTAACATAGCATGCATATTTTTTGCTGTTTGAGAACAGGTTTACAAAAAGCCATATAATTACACTCACATGTTTTATTACATGATTGATGGAGTGAATACTGTTGTACACTAGCAAGTTAGCACACATTTTCAAAACTAACAAAGAACTCATGCTTTTGCTCTAGTGATGGTTAAGGCGCCCATTAAGTACCCACATCCGGATCAGTCCCTTGACTTGGGTCCTGGGTCCACTCCTGGCTCGAACTTCCTGTTGATACATTCCCTGGGAACGCCAGTCAATTTCTAAACACTTGGGTCCTTGCCACTTACACAGGAGATGAGTTCATGCCTCCTGGCACCCACGTAGCCCAGCCCAGTGGCAGATGTTCTGCGCATCTGGAGAACGAAACAGAGCTCTCTGTGTCTCTTTGCCTCTCAAATAAATATAAATAAAATGTGAGGTAAAGTAATTATTTGAAACTTTAACCGTGTTAGGAAGTATCTATAGAATACCTCCTTGCTAACAGCAAGAAATCTCAATGTTGGAAACAAGACAAGGTTTAGGGTTCTGCTAAACACATTGGAAATCATAATTATTACTCGTTTCACAGCGGTGGAGGCCCAATACACTACTGGTCAACAAACTTACACTGTGACACGTATAGCAGTTGCTTGCTAACTGATAAATATCAACATTTAAAATCTATTTTTTTTTAAGATTTATTTATTTTTGTTACAAAGTCAGGTATACAGAGAGGAGGAGACACAGAGTGCCGGGATTAGAACCAGCGCCCATATGGGATCCTGGGCGTGCAAGGCGAGGACCTTTAACCACTTGCGCCACCGCGCAGGGCCCGATGTATTTTTTTTAAATAACATTGTATTATTATTATGTGAAACAGTTTTATAGGCACTGGGATTCCCCCCACCCCTCCCACAACCCTCTTCCCATGATGGATTCCTCCACCTTGCTGCATAACCACAGTTCAAGTTCAGTTGAGATTCCATCATTGCAAGCATATACCAAGCATAGAGTCCAGCATCTTATTGTCCAGATAAGTTCAGCGGCTTCTTGGGGAGACCTTCTCTGGTCTGAGGGTAGAGCTAACAGAGTAAAGTCCCGTTCAGTTAAAAGCCCCAACAAAACATCAGCAACAATATACAGTGTTATGGAATTAATTGACATAGTATTGAGTAGACAATATGTTAGAAATAAGGCAAGTTCAATTTTTCAAAACACATGGGATGATGTATTTTTGTGTTAGGGCGTCCCTAACTGACAGAACATATGTGTGTACATATCATCCACTTACAGTGGAACATCACTATTTGACTTCTCCGTGATGTGAAAGTTGCAGCTCGGTTTTTAATGTGGAGTTCCCCCGGCTAGCAATTTTCAGTGTGGATCTTGAAAGTTGCTGGGCAGCAAGTAATTCCACAATCACAGGGGGTGTGGCCACAATCAATGCTTCCTGGTAGGTCATGTGACTGAGTATGGGGTTCAGTCTAATTTAATCGTTATCTAATTTATGGTAGTGGGCTTATTGGGATGTAACTTGAGGACTACTCCCACACACAAGAAGGGATGTGTTACAAGGGTCAGAGGCTAAGGAATCCCTCTGCAGGTGTGCAAGCTGAAACCCTGGACAGCCAGCGGTGTGATCCTTGTCCGAATCCAAAAGCCGGAGTACATTGCATGTGAATAGACTGAGGACAGAAGGACCCCCTCACCTGTGAGCGTGGCCCTGCACGATCCGTCCTGGGCCCCAGTACAAGAGAAATGACAGCAGAGGCAGCCCCCTCTCTCATCCCCACCGCCTTCCGCACCGGCGACATTGCTGTGAGAGCGAGACTGTGGCCGCCGGCCAGAAACAGGGCATCCAGCGTGTAACCACAGCAACTGCCTCACAATCGGTGGCCTGTCCAAGTCCGAGCTGGCGGCAGACCGGTGCCTGTGGCCTCTGGGCGCTGTAACGCCGAGAAGGTGGTCCGCTCGCTCGTCTCCCAGCCTTGTGTGGAAGAACCCCAGCGGTCTCCATCATCCCCTAGGAGCTGGCTGGCGCTGGGCGGAGGAGCGGTGGTCCAGCATCCATCTCCGCTTCGGGATGGCAACCAGCAGTAGCTTCAAGACCGAATTCGTTGTTGGAGGGAAGTATAAACTGGTGCGGAAGATCGGGGCCGGCACCTTTGGGGACATTTATATGGCGACCAACATCACCAACGGCGAGGAAGTGGCAGTGAAGCTGGAATCGCAGAAGGGCCGGTATCCCCGGTTGCTGTACGAGAGCAAGATCTACAAGATTCTTCAGGGCGGTGTTGGTGTCCCCCACATACAGTGGTACGGCCCAGAGAAAGACTACAACGTGCTCGTCATGGACCTCCTGGGCCCCAGCCTTGAAGACCTCTTCAACGCGTGCTCACGGAAGTTCACCATGAAAACTGTGCTGATGTTGGCTGATCAGATGCTCAGCAGGATCGAATACGTGCATTCCAAGAATTTTATACACAGGGACCTTAAGCCGGATAACTTCCTCATGGGCGTCGGACATCACTGCAATAAATTATTCCTTATTGATTTTGGTTTGGCCAAAAAGTACCGAGACAGGAAGAGCAGACAACACATACCGTACAGAGAAGATAAAAACCTTACTGGCACTGCCCGATATGCTAGCATCAACGCACACCTGGGTATCGAGCAAAGCCGCCGGGACGACATGGAGTCATTGGGATACGTTTTGATGTATTTTAATAGAGCCAGTCTACCATGGCAAGGACTAAGGGCTATGACAATGAAACAAAAATATGACAGGATTAGTGAGAGGAAGATGTCCACGCCTGTGGAAGTTTTATGTAATGGCTTTCCTGAAGAGTTTGCTACGTACTTGAACTACTGCCGTGGGCTGCGCTTTGAGGAAACGCCAGATTACGCGTACCTGAGGCAATTATTCCTCACCCTTTTCAGGAACCTGAACCACCAATACGACTACCTGTTCGACTGGACAATGCTAAAACAGAAAGGAACTTCTGCCATTGGGCAGTGTCAGCAGACCCAGAGCCACACAGACAAGCAGAGTGGTAATAAAAAGAGGGACACATAAGGTTTTTTAAGCAGGAATTGTGGGACAACAACAACAACCAAGCAAAGCAGCATTTGTGTCTCCTTAAACCTGGAAATTTTGGTTCACGCGTCCACTAGCCATTGGTTGTGGATGACCATTACCTGGTGTGAAGAACTTAATTGCATTCGAAACTATTTCTGGACAAGTATTGTGGAGACCCTCTGTCCTGAGTTGTAGACACTGTAACTGTGAATATTAAGTAGGAATTGTGGAACACAGTGTCTGGTTTTCTATTGCATTTTTTTTTTTCAAATAGAAAAGTTAATTAGTTGATGCATACATGTTTGGGGGGAAAATGTGCATATGCTAACCATTTTAAGATTTTTCATGTATACTATTTTGAAATCTCATTTTAAAAGAGCGACATAATCTGTCTGCAGCCACTGTTGTGATGATTGTAAATTGTCACAAGTGTGAAGTCTGAAGGTGTTTTTTTTTTTTCTTCAAGTATTCACTTTTAAAAGCTCTTAAAATGGTTATTGCTTACTAGCAAGTCAGCTGGTATAGCCACAACCAAAGATTCCAATGTTTGAGCATATTAAAGTCTCGGCCCGCTTTCTCGCACTAGAAATAGTAGCATCTGAAGACTTAGAAAGAACCCAACAACTACTAGTTAATCATTGGGACTCAGAATTAACTCTGTAATGTTGTCAACCTTTAAAATACACCATATTTGCCACAATAATTTGTCAACATCCTATGAATGCATTTTGCTTAGATAATCGGAATCACTGTAAACATTTGCATTATCCAGGACTTAAAAAAAGTTTGAAATGGGAAACAAACATCTGTTTATATGGAAAACAAATCCACTTTTGATGAATCACATAATTCACATTCTTTGGAGACGAAGGATGGCCAACGACAGGGTACCTACTCCTCTCTCGTTTTTCTAAGGTGAAAGTTTAGGAGTGGTAGAAGGATTTAATTTTTGAACCCGATAATAGCCACAATATGCCCTTAATCACTTTTAAAGTATATATTGGTTTTTTTTTTAAGATTTATTTTATTTTTATTGGAAAGGCAGATATACAGAGAGGAGAGACAGAGAGGAAGATCTTCCATCTGATGATTCCCCAAGTGAGCACAACGGCCGATGCTATGCCGATCCGAAGCCAGGAGCCTCTTCTGGGTCTCCGACGTGGGTGCAGGGTCCCAAAGCTTTGGGCCGTCCTCGACTGCTTTCCTGGGCCACAGGCAGGGAGCTGGATGGGAAGTGGGGCTGCCGGGATTAGAACTGGTGACCATATGGGATCCCAGGCGTTCAAGGCGAGGACCTTAACCACTGTGCCACGGCGCTGGGCCTAAAGTATGTATTGTAAAAAATTGTAGGTCTGCTGGATCTATAAGACTTAGGTAATACCACTCACATAGAGCTGGAGACACCACAACAAATTTAATCACTTCAAGATGCAGAAATGGAGGGGTTTTTAGCTATAAAACACTCAAAAAAGTATGAGAGTGGATATTTAAATAAGAACTTTATAGATTTGTATTAGGTAATCAGGTGAGCCACATTAATGAACTCTTATTTCTAAAGACATATTTAACTTCTAGTTGTGTTTGTTTGGTCTATGACTGTTTTTAAAAAAATAAAATGATTCAATGACATTGGCTGGATTAAATCATATCCCCCAAAATTGTATGTTAAGCACGTAAATTCATGTTGATTCATAGTGCAATAAACAATGGAAGTTGTCAACAGCTATTGAATAAAAATTGAGAAATTACTCTGGGAGTACCACAATCATTGCTTGCTGTTTTTGAATTATCAGTATCTAGTCTTTCCTATTCCAGGAGAGTGTGTGGGAAGTGGGAACTCCGACCCTTGCAGTTAGGGGCCATTGACAGCCCATGGAGTAATTTGGGCTGGTTTTGCCAAGGCAACTGCAGGTGGAAATTGATAATCAGTAAATCTGTAGCAGGTTGCTTTTTCAAATTCGTATTATTTATGATATCTGATCAGGGTGAGATTATTAAGGTTTGGGAGTGAATGAGTGAGACTACTGTTTGCAAATTTTCTTTTTCTTCTCCCTGTAACTGGGGGAAGGAGGGAAGCAATTGGAGAAGCCGCAGGCAACCTCCAAATTGCTCCAGTACCCAGAGATGTGGAACAGCCAACCAATACCAACCCAAGGTCCCCAGTGTAGAGTGTACTCTGAGGGTTCTGCTTACGTGGATTCAGTGGTTTTGAAATGTTGTCAATCTTGCTGATCCAAGGACAAGGAAATCGTTCCAAGGTCCATCCGCTCTCATAGTCCAGCTTAGATTCACCCAGATATTTGCTGTCATCGCTTGGCTAGGGTAGTTGTCTAATTGGTTCTGCTCTTCTTCCTTTCCCCTGGTACCAGATGTCCTCCACAGGCCCCAATGGACTGTCACAGGCACAGCTCTTACGTTTTTCAGTGGGAGCCAAGACCAGCCCTGCCTACTCTATGCTCTCCCTGGCTCTCAGGGCAGCAGTGGGTACTGGAGTTGGGCCCAGTCTAGCATGCTCCAGACCCAGTCCACACCCAGACAGAGCAACACTGTCCATCCCAGATCACTGCCTGTTCTGGCTCCTGTACTCACCAGTGGGAACTATGACCCTGTTGGGGCATCTTTTTAGCTCCCCAACCAGACCTGTTTCTAGCCAAAGATTTTGCCCATGCCAGTGGTTGTTTTGACCCAGCTTAGCATAACCCATCCCCAGTCTTGGCCTTTGGTATCGGATGTGCAGCCTAGCCTGCCCAGTCTTCTCCCATCCCTAAGTCACGCAAATGGTAGGTGTGATAGCCTAGCCTGGCATGGTCTACACATCAGCCTTATTCCTGCACTTGCCAGTGTGCTAAGGTTCGGTCTGACCCTACCCTATCCACCCCCTCCAGAACCAACCCATATACTTGCCAATAGGTGGAACTACTTTTCCCAGCCTGATCAACATCCAGGCCGGAAAACTGGTCACCAGTGGGAGGTACAGCCCACCAGGGGGAATTTCCCAAGTTCTCCCACCAGGCCCACTCCCAGATCCGTATCTCACTGCCACCTACAAATGTTAAGCCCTTACCTGGCATGATCTTTCCCCATTGCCCCGGCCTATGTATGAGCTGGTGGATATTGTGGCCTACCCTGCCCCACACTCTATTCTTGGGTCTGCGTGTAGGTTTTGCAGCCTACACTAGCCCTGCCTGTTTCCAACCCATCGGCTTCGATGGTCATGTGTAACTCAGCCCATCACCATCCCCAGCTCTTGAGCAAACCAGTGGAAATTGCAGTTCCATAGTGCTGAGCCCATATATACCCCACAGAATTTGCTCCCAGACCCTATATTCTCGCTTGCTGGCTAGTGTCATGGCCCAGCCCAATGTGACCCATCCCCTGTTCTGACACTCACTGATGGATGCTGTGATCCATCCCTGCCAGGTAGACCCCCGCCCTATCTTTAGTGTGCGCTAGTGAGTGGTATTTCACGGTTGTTGGTGCTAACTATACCGCCTCAGGTCTCCCATGGGGACTAGTGCTTTGTTCTGACCCTTAAGTATCCTCTGGCTTTCCCCCTCCATTCCGCTCAGTCTCAGCCCTCTCGTTTTACCTGCAAGCACAATGGCCTTGTCATTGTATATCCCTAAGAGGTCTTTTCTCACATGGATATGAGCCCTCGGGTCCCTGCACACTCCCACCTGTGCTATCAAGTCACCTGCAAGCCCACACCCCACAAGCCTCTAGAGTGTGCCAGTGGGCTGTGCGAGGTCTTCACCTAACCCCAACCCAAGCCCCCCCAGCTGCCCCTGTGCCCTTGGGACTAACCTGCTGCAGGTTGCTCTATTTTTTTTTTTGTAGGTTGCTTTTAAAATGATAATTTTGTATTGTTATTGTCAGTGAAGATGCTACAAATACTCACAGGGCTTTTGCCAGCAAACGGCTTCTCCACTCCTGTGGTGTGGATTCCTCATGAGTCCCGCACTCTGGAGAATGAAGTATAATTCATCCCATGTTCTAAGTCTTGTATCATTTTTGAAAAATATATATTTATTTTTATTGCAAAGTCAGATATACAGAGAGGAAGATCTTCCATCCGTTGATTCACTCCCCAAGTGGCCGCAACAGCTGAGGCTGCAATGGTCCAAAGCCAGGAGCCAGGAGCCTCTTCGGGGTCTCCCACTTGCATGCAGGGTCTCAGGTCCTTGCACCATCGTCAACTGCTTTCCCAGGCCTCAGGCAGGGAGCTGGATGGCAACTGGGGCCCCAATTTTACAACCAATATCCATATGGGATCCCATCGTGTGCAAGGCGAGAACTTTAGGCTACCACTCTGGGCCCTAACCCCGGTGTTTTGTAAGTCACTCCATCCCTGTGATAACTTGCTTAATGAGGCCATCTTTCAACATGTTAGGAAGAGTGATCTGGGCGCTCTAATCAAAGTACTCTGTGTATCCATGGCTGCTGTTACACATCCTCTCATTTTCCAGGAATGGAAGTCCCTACTTTCATCATATTGTAAGACCCTTCTTTGCCATGTGGACTACAACCTTGATGCAAATGGAACTTTCAGGAACAAGGAACTAAGACAGGAACTCATCTATTGTATTTGTGGTCATTTTCAGTTTTTGACCTTTTGCCTTCCCATCACAAGGAAAACTGTGCATCCTGCTTTGAGCAAAAACAAGGCAAAATTAGCTGCAAAAAGTTTTTTTTCTTTTTCAAGCCTCTATATTGAAAGTCAATAGTTTTTTTCTCAGTCTACAATGAATCATTGCTGTTAAATTACTGATCGCTTCTTTCATGGTTAGGGAAGGAATTATCTATCACTCAAATAGACTTTTAATATCTTTGTCTCTTTAGCACTAACATCAGGAAAAAGCAGCCACATGGTATGAGTGAGTCTTGAGATCTAATGTACAATATGAAGGCTCGGGTACTAATGGTACATTGCTAATGAGCTGTGTGCTGAGAGCTGAGAGGTCCAGACTCACTCCACCTGCACATACAACATGAGAGAG